GTATGTATGTGTGTAGTTGCTTAGATTTATTTTAACACTACTGTAACTTCAGTACATTAGTGTTAGGTAGAGTACCCCTTGTTTCTTTCATCTACTATCGATTTATCCATCCAAGGGTTGCCTGAAAGAGATTGCTTTTAGCAATAAGGCCGTCCATTGTACATACCTGCCTGTAGTTCCATCTATCATATTGTAATTAGTGTACAATAAAGCATATTCTATTCTATTCTAAAAGTTAATTATAAGCAACAGATTTTTTCAAATCAATGTTTTACAAGTTTCTTGTATTTGTTATCCAGGTTATCACTCGGTGCAGGATTAATAGTTAAATGTTATTCAGGTGTGACATACCGACCTGGAGGCGGGAGCCCTTGCGGCTCTGTATCAGTGGCGCAAGGAGGCGCAGGAGTTGGGTCGTTGTCCCGAGATTCGAGAAATCGATGACCGGAAATCCCAACTCCGCCAGGTCATCATAGGGGAGTGGAGGGAACGACTCGGGCAACCCAGCGCCGGAGGATTGGCTCGAGAGGCGTCACGGGACCCTCTCATACCGACCAACGCAGGTGATCACTGGGAAAGGATGACTATCGTGCGGAGCGAGAGTGCGTGGAACTCTGCCGTCTCCTTCTGCGAGCAAGTTATGCTCGCGAAGGAGACGGCGGAGCAGGACCGGGAGAGGTTTAGAACGCTCCCGGCCCGCCAGGCCCGGGAACGGGCCAGGTACCGCAGGCGACTCAGGCGCCGGAGGTCGCAGAACGATCTCCGTCCTCCATAAGCGCAGGCCTGGGGGTGACAGGTGAGGCCGTCTGTCACCCTAGCAGAAGCAGGCCGGGGTGGCGGCGAGCGCGTTGCGAAGTGCGCTCGCTTCCAGGGAGTAGAGGGAACACGGGGTTCCCATACGGGGGGGGGGGGGGTCGTCTACTCGTCTGTAGATGGCCCGAGGTATGTCGGGGCACCAGGGACTTCCTGTCTAGGGTATACTTGGTTCCCCGGCTATTAGTACCCAAGACGGCGTGCGGTTTTAGTCGGTTCGAGTCCGACATGCCACCGACATGTATCCGAGGGGATTTCGGAAAAAAAAAGTTGTGACGTACCGATAGATATCAATAGTACTGCATATTAGCACATATCCTTAGTTATTCTATTGTCGCGATTAGTTTTATTCAAATGATAGCATTGAATAATTATAAAGTACCTACTTTACGTCATGCTTGGATAAATATGAAGAGAACTGGCAGCTATTTGTATTTAAGCTACAAGGACCGCATACATGCATGATTTTACTATTAACTTGAAAATAAAAAGAAATAAGAGATTTTATTTATATTTTAAGAAATTGTTATTATTCAATTGAATGAAATTAAATAATAACAATTAAAAAAAGAAATTGTTATTTTATTATTCATGAGAATTTGGATATTGAACAAATTATCATCATCTATAGTTGGTATAGATAGGGTAGGGTTTGTTTCAAGTTTTCCTTCTCTTTGTAGTCCTGCGGAGTTTAGGTGGAACCCCTCTCCCTAGAAGGGTTTTCTTAGAATTTTCTTAGCTATACTTTACATAGCGTGAGAGTCATGCTTCGCATATGCATGCACACATGGGCCATATTTCGACCAAAGTGAAACCATAGCCTCACAGAAACCTGTGAAGTTACTGGAGCCCAAAATTCTTCTCCCCTGATTCCGTGGAGGAACAATCAAAAAGGTGGTAACACACTTGTAACTCTAAAGTTGCATGATCAACATCAGGTGACACGTTTGTTTTGGCCCTCACAAAATCTTCAGGGAATACTACAGCCATAAATTAGGAACTTATTTTTTTTTTACTTTGCTGGTGCAAATGGAGCGCGTTTTTTTGCGCACAGCCGTACTCGGTGTCCTGATGGACACTGGTGGTAATGGTTGGTAGTTGCCAGGATGGTAATGTTAGAACTGAGATGGGCTGTTCAGTTGGGTTGGAAAAAAAAACTGTCTCTTGGAGATTGTTCAGCTGGAAAACCGGGGGGCGTATTTATCACTTTTCGCTGTCGAAGAGTTACCGCAAGAAACAAGTCACTCACAAAATATACTACAATTCCGTGCGGCGACAGTGCTGGAAACGCTTGATGTGACTACTTTGCAAGTACGTGGCGAATCCTGATAGACCTGGCTCCCAACGAATTTGTTTTTGGTAAAAAGCTATCCACTTGCAAGTAGCTAGATTAAAAAAAATATTCGTTGAATCTCGTTTATCGAGAAAGCAGTGACCATAAATGCTTATGAAACTGTAGGAAACGACTAGAAGGCTGCAAAGTAAGGGAACGCCTATTGGAAGAGCTAAGGCAAAACAACGACATAACATTTTTAGTCAATACAAATGTGAAAGTAACACTTCTAAAACCCTTTTGTCAGCTAATGCTACTAAATGACGGTAAAAATAATGTGCAACCTCCCAGTTTATTCAAGAATGGATTTTCTTGAAATTTTGAAATAAAGCTCTTACCTTCCTCTTCAAAATCTTCCTTGTACCGATATGTGCTAATGACTCTTAGGGATGAAAACCAATCCTGATTGTCAAAATTGATAAATTCATAACTTTAGGCATCAAGCGAATGAAATAATGCATATAGCTTTTGATTAAAGATAGTTTTAGTTTGAAACACTATTTGTCAGTTTTCTACCACTATTTTATTCTTTATACCCTTTTAAAACACCCTATTGCCATAACAATTAAAAAAGTAGTTAGTATCTTTAAACTATACAACTTAATAAAATTGTTATAATTAGTTTTCATCCCCTAAAAACTACCCTAAATAAAAAAAAAACAAGAAAATATATGACCTACAATATATGACTTCATAAATTAGGTAAAACTGACACTGAAATATACATTCTGGCAGATGTTGGTCTCGCATCGAGTTTGTGGTGGGGGGGGAGGGGGGGGGGAGACGCCACATATATATATAATACACTCATTACCATACACACACACACAAGACCCCTTTACTAGGTGCCAATGATGAGATCGCTATGTACACGCATTACTCTGCTCCAAAATTAAAAACTATGCGTTTGGTTTTTTGATATTTTAGGTTGCATTTTGGACTAAAGGGATAAAAAGAAAACCATTTTGTAGAGAATTTTATGGCCTATAAGTTGTTCAAGTTGCCTCATGTAAGTTTCATATTTCTGAAACCCTTCATTTTATAAATGTCAACGATGAAAGGGCTCAAGCCATATCTTGGATTAATTTTGAGCTACAGTAGAAATAAAACAATTTTTTTTTGTGAATGACAATGCTAACTTTTTGTACTCTAATTTGTACGCAATTTTAACGTGTATAGTTTATTTTCTGAGCTATTTTTGAAAAAGGATAATTTTTGATATGTTTCAAAAGACCTATTCCACTTTGAAATTTTTATTTCTAAGTAAGCGTTTTTATTTTTAAGTGAGCGTTTTAAAGTAAACAACTTTTGTATCATGTTTTTAATGTTAAAATTAACTTATTTGTACATTTTATTTAATTCCAATTAGGGTAGTAATAAGAAGGGTCATTGCTGATTTTTGTCGTAAAAAAATCGACACCAACTGAATTTTTGCCATAACTCCGTTAGATTTTATACGAGAGGCCTAAAACGCATTTTAAAGGTTTTTCTTTTAATGTACTTTAAAAGAACCTATGCACTTTTATCGTTAATTGTATTGTTTTTTCGTAATTCAATGTCGGAATCTTTAAATTTTTCGTTTAAAAAAAGGCCTACCTTTACAGCTATAACTTTGTGTTTATTGGGCCTACATAAAAATTAAAAACGAAATTCTAGAGTTATTTATTAATTTTAATTTTAATAACATCATTACTTTTTGGGTCATTTGTGGAAAACCATTAAAAAACGTTGTTATTTTTTTAAACTATCGACGTTATCGATCATGAATATTTTAGCTTAGAGTACATTCCTCTAGTGATTGCTGGTTTTGTTTCTTTTTTAATTATCACCCTCTAGTTAGGGTGGTATTAACTCCCGCCTCATAGTAGGAGGCACTCGCATCGGCGTCGAGCCCTCGATGAGGTATCTGGGGATCAGAAATCCCACTCCGCCAGGTCCTCTTAGAGGAGTGGAAGGAACGCCGTTATTGGGGCGGTAAGACCAGTTATGAAGGATTGGCTCGAGAGGCGTCACGGAACCCTCTCATACCGACTGACGCAGGTGATCACCGGGAAAGGTTGTTATTAACTCCTAGCGAAAAAGTACACATCGGCATAGGGTAGATTTTACTTTTTAAGGTATTCCCTACTGACTGTCAAAATTTCATAAAACCGTCTGTCGCTGTACTTTAAGTAGGTATTACCGACTGATTAGTTTATTGTATTCTATGTTTGTAAAAATAAAGGTATCAACAGTTTATTATTCGTGTCGTAGTAGTGCCCTGATGGTGGGACTAGAATCAAAGAAATTAATTTTTATTTAGGTAATTTAATTATTATTCTTCTTTACATATACACATACATAATGTCTAGTCGTCATATTTCCTTACATTGAAATTACTTCATAATTTTATTGATGTTCTATGCTTACGTTTGAGGTTTCTGTTAAAAAGTTTAGGCAATGACTGTAAGAATTGAAGTCTGTCAGAAATCAAAGAAGATAAAAAAGAAAAGAAAAAAAACAACTAATAATTTTTTTTTTAAAATTAAATTGTAATTATTATTTTTTTAATAACCTAATATATTAAAATTTGTATTATGCAGCAGAAGAATTACACATGTAGGCCAATAGTGCCATGCTTTAAATTGTCTTAAGTGTCATCTAATTTTTGTGTATAAAAAGCAAATATCAACAAATTTCAAAGATAACGTAAATTGTATATCCCTAGACTGATTAGATTATCATGAAGATTTTAAGACAAGTATTGATTTTATTAAGAATATAAACATTTTGTATCAAATTTTCTGTATTGATAATAACAATTTCCTTAATATGCTTTAGGACTTTGTGTCGACCACAACATATAAGGACACCTTTATGAAGCGGAAGATTTGTGACCATGTATCACAACTGATTTATAATGCAGCGTAGGATGTGTTGCTGAACAGGTATCCTTAATATTATGACCACCTTCAATCTCGTTCAGCACTTCTAGGTAGTCCTGCATAAATTCATCATACATATTCTTCGGGATTTGGAATGGGTTGATTGCTGTCATAAGTTCTGAAATATCCAATAAATAATTAACTTTGAAAATAGTATCACTGACTTCATTGCGCCTATGTCATGATGAAATTTAATAAACTGTTTTCATCAATATTTCTCTTCAAATTTAAATCGGACCAAATGAGAATGGGGTGAGAAGAACATCCTCCCAAATAAAAAATAAAACAGAGGCAGTCATAATGACTGCTGCCGAGCATGTCGAGGTCATCGATGACGCGAATCCGTGGGTTTTTCCCCCACTAAAAATCGCTCAACTCGGCTAAAGAATCTTTCACTTAAATAAAAAAAAACAAACAAAAAAAACAGGATTTAGAAACTCAGTTTGGTGATATTTCTCACATACATATTTGATATGTGTGAAATATCACTAAACCGTTCAATTACGACATTTAAACGCTTACTTGTTCTAGTGTGTTCGTCACTGAACAAAAAGACCCGATCTTTACATTCCAATTCGATGTCCACGAAACCAACACTTGCCATGAGAGGTATAATTTCATCGTCTATATCCTGAAATACAATTATGACATTAATTAGGTATATTATTATAAAAATATTATATTTACCATGCGAAGATATTAGTTTAAAATCATTTAATTTTTGTGAGTTCTGTTTATTCATTCATTTACAAGAAGAGAGAACATTGTATTTCTATTACGACAATTACTAGTTTTTACACAGCACTACAGTTACTTTCATAAGATTAACTAACTTACAAAAAAACATGTATACCTCTGAGTCATGGTACGGTGAAATGTATTTTTCTACATCATACACCCAAGTACTCCATTTCTCGTTCTTTGATAAGGTACGATAGACTTCAAATACTGGATTATAAGCCACTAAAATAATGAAACATTCTCCTTCTTTATCCAACAAATTGAAGATGTTTTCGAAAGCTCGCCTGAAAAGTAGCAAGACCCGCATAGAAATGTAAATAACTACAAAAATAAATTAAAATAAACACCAATTATTATTAAAATAAAAACAAATACTAACTTTTGATCTATAACCCAGTTCAGAGCATAGAATGAGAACACGTGGTCGAAATTTCCTTTTATATCTTCAGGCAGGTCACCTGCAATATCCAGTACCGTGAAAGATGTTTGATCATTGCTATGATGGTGAGACGCGTACATTACCATGTTATTGCTTATGTCACAACCCACTAACTTAAAATCTGTAGGAATAAACGTCTTCAAAATGTTGGTGACACTGCCATCCCCGCATCCTATATCTAATATCCTGTTGTTGTTCTCTCTCCATTTCATTTTTGGTTTGAATTTTTCTAAATATTCAGAGACATCTCTTTTGTGAATATAGTTACATTCTTCATAAAGTTCAGGCTTTTCCATGGTATATTAACTTGCGCTGGGCACTCAGAATTCAAGTTTCAGTTTTACTCTAAATGAGCGTGTTAATCATTAGGCAACTGACCACAATCATAGCACATAATCGTGAGATGTGTGCTATTTATTTACTTCTCTATAAAGAATCTATTAGCAACTAATTATTTTGCACTACTTTTAATACAATATGTGCCTTTATTAGTATTAGGTAAAAGAATAAATCCTTAAGTTTTCATAACATAAGCCCCGCTCGATCTGTCAACAATGGTAGACGTGTTTTTGTTGTTAGTACAAATTGTATTCATTAAAATTGTTAGAACTGTAATACGTTTAAGAGTGATTAGTGACGATAATTGCAAACTATTAATATTGAAAAGTAAATAAAATATCATAATTGGTGAAGTACAAAGTGATCAGATCATAAATAAGTGAATGTCTTAGCTCACAAATTGATTCACGTACCCTCGTTTTACTTTATTCAATACACCTAATCAAGTTGAAAAGTGATCGAGTAAAAGATACCCGTTTGGTAGAAAGCGTAACTTACGCGATTTGCACGGAACTTACGTCATTTTTGCCGCTGACTTACTCGTCGCTCTTTATTATAGACGTGATCAATTTTGTATAGAATCTAGTTGGTTATAAATATTAACATGTTAGGGAACAAGATTAAGGGCCTGATACAGATAGCAGTATTTCTCGATACGGCACGTATTATGCTCAGTCAGTTCAGTCGCGAGCGCACTCCAAGCCGAGGTACCTGCGGACCCCTCGGTTGGGTTAAAAACTTACGCTTGCCCGGGTAATGGGGGATCTCTGCCCGGGTGGACCTTTTAGTTCTCCCCCACTCGTGGGATTTATTATGAATTTGAATACAAATAAAAATACAAAGAAACGGACACAAACAGAAAACAAACAAAACCAGGCAAACAAAACGGACACTGAAACAAAAGGTGCAAGGGAGAAGAGGAACAGTGGAGTCGATGGGTCGTCCACTGAGGGTGAGGTGGCGTCGGGAACGCCCATCTCGATGGGGCTCCCAGAAGTCAGTCTGACTCTGATCTCTGGGAGCCGAAGAGCATCGGATCGGCTGCGCTCCAGATCCGCCGCTTCGTCGGATGGCGCGGAGGCCATGGAAGCGGAGCGAAGCGACAGCCGAAAACGCGGACGCTCAGGGGACGTGGAAACCGACACGTCCGGCGAAATGATGCCACCAAAGGTGGCAAGCAGCCGCCGAGGGAGGGCGCGTAAACCGGCCTCGGTCTCGACCCCGTCAGGCTCCGCGTTCTCAAACGCGGAGTCCTACAGGAGCGTGCGAGTGGACGGCGAGGCCGTAGCGGAGGAGGAGATCGCGGATCTCCTGCTCAAGGTTCGGGAGCCGGTGGGGGGAAATGCCCCCCAGGCTCCCGTGTCCGTGCAGGAGAGGGCGAAAGCGGCGGTGGCCGTCATCGACAAGGTGGCCACCAAATCCGTGAACCTTAAGGGCTCGTTTGTGAGGGCCCTTAAGGACTCCTCCTCCGCTTTGTCGGAGGTCGTGGAGGGCCTAGCGGGCGACGTCTCTCGCCTGCAGGTCGCCAACGAGAGGCTGACGGAGCGGGTGAACGAGCTGAGTGCTCAGTTCGCCCGCTTCCAGGCGAACCTCCCCGAGCGGGAAGCCCCGTCCGCGTCCCAGCCTGCCCCTACCACCAACTCAGGGGCATTTGACTCCCAGCTGCGAGAAATCCTCATCGCAGTTGGGAATATGCTGGACGGACGCCTGGCTGGCCTGGAGGCGAGACTGCCCCCTGCGCCGATTATGCGCCCCCCGCTCGCGTCGGCACAGCGGCCTAAGGCCGCCGCTCCGACCGCGCTCCCCGTGGTGGGAGGCCGCGTTTCTTACGCGGCGGCGGCGTCTGCCCCTACTCCATCGGCTCCACAAAGGCCGAGGAGGGGGGCCAAGGCACCGGCCCACACGCCGGCCAAGGCACCGTCCCAGGCGCCGGCCAAGGCGCAGGCCAAAGTGCCGGCCAAGACGGGGCCTAAAACGGCGCCGCGAGCGGAGTGGCATTCCCTCCGCTCCCCACTCCGACACCCCTGCCGGGCCCCTCTGCACCTGCCCCCTCCAACGAGGGTTGGCAGGAGGCGAGGGGATCCAAGAAGTCCCGAAGGCGGGCCAGAAGGGCTGCCCAAAGAGCAGCCCAAGCCCTGCCTTCGCCACCGGTGGCAACGGCCTCTGCAAAGAGGCCGCGGAAGCTGCAGCCGCCCAAAACCGCGGCGGTAGTGGTGACCGTGTCCCCGGAGGCGGCTGACGGCGGGCTGTCCTACGCGGCCGTGTTTAAAAAGGCCCGGGACAGCCTCGCCAACGACTTTGGGACGGTGGGGGTGAAGATGCGCCTCGCCCAAACGGGAGCTCGAGTTCTCGAGTTCCCAGGGGCTGAAGGCGCCAAGACGGCGGACACTTTCGCTGAGAGGCTGCGGGGTTTATTCGCGACCACAGATGGTGTCAAGATCGCCAGGCCTACCAAGTGCGCGGAGCTGCGCATCTCGGGCCTGGACGACTCTGTGACGGCCGAAGATGTCCGCGCTGTAATCCGGGAGAAGACGGGGTGCAGCGCGGACAACGTCAGGGTCGGCACCATCCGCCCCGGTCCAGGAGGGCTTGGCGCCGTGTGGGTCAGCTGTCCCGTAGCGTCGGCCAAAGTATTGGCCGACGCCGGCAGGCTGCTCATCGGTTTCGTGAGCGCCAGGATCACAGTCCTGGCGGCGAGACCGATGTGGTGTTTTAAATGCCTGGCCACGGGACACACGCGCGTCAAGTGCGACAGTTGTTTTGACTGCGGCGGACTGTGTTTCCGCTGCGGTCAACCGGGGCATAAGGCGGCAGAATGCTCTGCCGCCCCTCACTGCCCAGTGTGTGCGGCGGGCAATAAGCCCGCCAATCACCAGATGGGGCAGAGAGGCTGCAAGCCTCCCCGCAGTTCTCGGCAGACGTCGGGGGTTAGCCAGTCGACCCAGGCTGCCTCCGATGTAGTTCGTGCGTCGACGTCGTCGCCCATGGAGGAGGTTGTAGAGACGATCCAGTAATGGATCAAGTCTCCAACCTCCTGGTCCAGACGAACCTGAACCACTGTGCCGCGGCGCAGGATCTCTTCCTGCAAACCATGGCACAGTGGTCGATAGGTGTTGCCGTAGTCGCGGAGCCCTATTCTGTCCCTCCCCGTCCAAACTGGATGGGTGACTGGGACGGCTCCGTGGCAGTCGTCGGTTTCACGACGGCTCATTCCCCGCCCTTGTCGCTAAGAGACAAGGGCACTGGATATGTTGCCGTCGAGTGGGGGGGGATCACCATATATGGTGTCTATTTCTCCCCCAACCGGAGTTTGAACGACTTCGAGGTTTTCCTAACCAGCTTGGAGACCTCGATACGGCGACTAGCGTCTGGGCACGTCCTTGTGCTGGGGGACTTCAACGCAAAGTCCATTGCGTGGGGTTCCCCCAGGACGGACGCCAGGGGCGAGGCCGTAGAGGAGTGGGCGGCCTCGGTGGGCCTCTGTCTTCTAAACAGAGGCTCCACCAACACGTGCGTGCGACAGCAGGGGGGGTCGATAGTGGACCTTTCGTTCGCTACCCCTGCCCTCGCCGCACGAGTAAGGAACTGGTGTGTCCTGGAAGAGGTTGAGACGCTCTCGGATCACCTGTATATCCGATTTGAGCTCTCCCGGACCCAGGACTCCAGTAGGGGTCACGTGGCGCGGCGTTTAGCCCGCTTTCCGCGGTGGGCTGTTGCCAGGCTGAACCGGGACCTACTAGAGGAGGCAGCCATAATTCACTCGTGGCTGTCTCCTCAGGCTCCGACCGAGGAGGTCGACGTGGGGGCTGGCCGCTTTCGCGATGCGATTACGCATGTATGCGATGCGGCCATGCCCCGCGTTCGAGGTCGTCGGCCTCCAAGGAAGGAGGTCTACTGGTGGTCCCAGGAGCTGGCGGACCTCCGTGCGGCCTGTACAAGTGCCCGGAGGTCCTACACGCGCAGTCGGCGGCGTCACCGTGGAGACGGTGAGGAGGACCGGCTTCATGAGGAGTACCGACGGGCGCGGAAAACTCTGAAGCTGGCCATTAGCCGCGCCAAAGAAGAAAAAAGACAGGAGATGCTGGAGGGTCTTAATCGTGACCCCTGGGGTCGCCCTTACCGCGCGGTGCGACAAAAGCTCCGCGCGTCGGCCCCCCCCCCTTACGGAGACTCTCCAGCCCAGCTTCCTGCGAGAAGTGGTTGAGGGCCTTTTCCCGCAACGAGCGGAACACACTCCCCCGGCGATGGCCTCCTTGGCCGGAGACGACGGGGAGCACGGGGAGGAAAATGTTCCGCCCGTCCGGGATTCGGAGGTAGGGGCGGCTGTTCTACGGATCCGTTCCAAGAACACCGCCCCTGGGCCAGACGGGGCCCGAGTGCTGGCCCTGGCCCTCAACCACATGGCAGACCGCCTCGGGAAGGTGTTCGACGCTAGCTTGGCGTCGGGACGCTTCCCTGAGTGCTGGAAGAGCGGGAAGCTGGTCCTATTGAGGAAGCCGGGACGGCCTGCCGATTCGGTAGCGGCCTATAGGCCCATCGTGCTGCTGGACGAGGCGGGCAAATTGTTTGAGAGGGTTCTTTCTGCCCGCATCGTCCGGCACCTCTGCGAGGTGGGCCCCGATCTGTCGGACGCCCAATTTGGTTTTCGGGCGGGGCGTTCGACAGTCGACGCCGTGTTGCGCCTGAGGGCCGTGACCGAAGAGGCCGTGAGCTGTGGCGGCGTGCTGTTGGCGGTGTCATTAGACATCGCCAACGCATTCAATAGTCTGCCATTCAGCTGCATCAGGGAAGCACTCCACTATCATGGGGTGCCAAAGTACCTGAGGCGGCTAGTGGCAGACTACTTAGAGGAGCGTACCGTCGTGTACGAGGACCGAGAAGGTAATTTGAGGAGTCGGCCCATGTCGTGCGGTGTTCCACAGGGGTCTGTTCTTGGACCCCTCTTGTGGAACATAGG